AAAAAAATTCTTATCTTGGCTCATGTTGGTCGTAGAGGGTACTTTTTTTATTTTAAAACTGTATTTTTTTGCCAGCTATCCATTGCATCTATTTTCGGTGAGATAGCATAAATAGCAACAATGTTATTCAAATTGTTTATAAGCGAAAAACGCACGATTTTTTTAATGCACAATTTGATAATGATATTGTCAAAAAAACGGTGATATTTTTTAATAGGTCGCTTAATTCCGTCTTTAAGATTTCAATGACGCTTTCAGAATCATGTTTGGTTGAAAATTAACGCCTGTACAGAGGCTTAAAGTTCATAACTTTTAGAGCGTCCGTTATAAACAAATAGAATTGTGCGAAAACTATTGCACCTACAGCGCCCACTTTTGTCACACTTTTGAATTATAACAAAACCCTCAACTTGCCATAGGTTTTATAAAATTTTAACAATAAATGCAATAGTTATAAACAAATTAAAAAATGGGCACTTTTCTTGTTTTTTTTGCAATAAATTTTTTGTTTATTAACCGATTTTAATTTAACAAGTCTCACTTTGTAGATAATTTTACTCCCTATAAGCTGTCTGTGAGTTAGTTTTCGCTAAAATTGATGGTTTTCCCTGCAAAGTGAAAGAACTGTTTTCCTCACTTATTTGTTTAAATAGAAAAGTTAGCTAATAAAAGTTTTTGACTCACAAAACGAGAGATGTCTTGTATTATGTTCCTTTAGACAATTTTACAATAATCTCGCGGATAGGACTTTTTTCAAGTTTCTTTTTCATTTTCGCTAATTTTCCTGGTGTATATGCAGAATGATAATATCAAAAAAGTAACTCGAAAGAAGTGAAGCTATTTTGGCAAATTGCAAATAAGTGGCAAATTTACGTGTTTTTTCAGTTTTTTTTTAATGCCCACGAAAATCTAGACGACCTATCGGAATATTAGTTATTTTATGTTGTAGACAATTAAATTACCTTCAATTTAAGGTATCTAAAGGCATATTTCACCAATTTGTTAACTGTAAAATAACTGTAAAAGTTAAAGTTAATTAATTCCATCTTTTCCACAAATCTCTTGCCTTTGCAATAATGATGCATAGTTTTCGAAAACTGATATTTCTGCGTTTGACCTTTATTTTACAATTACCAAATTAGTGAAAATTGACTGTAAGTACCTTAAATTGTAGGTAATTTGATTGCTTAAAACATAAAATAACTAATATTCCGATAGGTCGTTTAGATTTTGGTGGGCAGTAAAAAAAGGGAAAAACCACGTAAATTTACCACTTATTTGCAATTTGGCAACATAGCGTCTCTTCTTTCGAGTTACTTTTTTGATATTATCATTCTACTTACCCTTCCCCATCATAAAGTCTAATAAAATGTCTATTAATAATTTTTTCAAGTTTTCCTATTTTATGATCTCAGCTGGAGTAAAATAAAAAAAAATATACACACACTAAAAGTAGTCAGTTGTGTTTGTATTTCAAATACCTATTAGAATAGTTAGCACACAAATAACAATTCAAGTATTCTGGTTTCTAGGTTTGTTCCTATTTTTCACAGAGGAGAGGGTACGACAAGACGCGGGGACTCTATTGTGCCTTTTAATTTTCAAAGATTTCGTCAGGGGTACTCCAAAAAGTGCATCTTTTTCTTTACCTAATTTAATATGTGTCAATATGCACCTACCTTTTTTATGTAATAGTCACTGGAATGTCAGTGACTACACCAGAGTCAATCTAAAAGGTAATTATTCAAGAACGACATCACATTTTGTTCAAAACCTTGTTTTTTAGAATGGATAACTTCTGACAGTTTGAGTTTAAGTTCAGTTCAAATTCAATGGAATTTAGAAATTTTTGGGGGTTTCCAGGAAATAATAAAACGGGAAAATGTCACTTACGACGATGAACAGTTCAAATTTTCTGATGAATTAAAGTTAAGTAATGGTGATTTAAAAGCATTAAAAACTTCGTCCGTACATTTTTGCATAATGGAACACCTAAATATGATACAGAATGGAACTTCGCATAATATTATTATAGAATCTATAGAAGATGTCACTATGTAAGTAATTTTGTATCCTCTGTTTTATTTACATTTCGATGGGTAAAAAGTTGTACCCTAAACATTTGATAATTATTAGTTCCATGTGGTTGATTTCAGGTGCGTTTATTTGTATAAAATAGCAATAAGTACGTGTAAAGATATTGATGATGAGTATTTTCTTTCTCATTCATGGGAGCAGACTTTTTCGAAATTCCTTAAATCATTGCCTTCCTGCAATGACGATATGTTGCTGCTGCGAAACGTGATACAACTTCTTGCTATATTGGTGCCGTTTTATAAGTTACCAGGTACAGAAATTGATTTAACGCCAGTCAAGAGTACATTACTAAATGATTCGTATATTTCAGATAAAGAATGTTGGATCATTACAATTTTAAAAGACAATACTCAGTGCCTGCTGGATTTGTTAAACGTCGATAGTACCTCTGAGGAGAATAAAATTATTGGACAGGAACTGTTGAAACTTATAACCGTATGTGCATGTCAAGAACAGCATTATTTAGATTTTTATACTGCAAATTTTATATCCGGTTCTAAACCTTGGACTCACATCATAAAGATTACAGCAGATATTTTGAAATTCAACAATTCTCAACATTTTTATAATTTAGGTATGGAAAATATTTATTTTATGACTTGTCGAAAAGGAAAAAGTGTACAGGGTGTAACTTTGAATGGGGGTCATTTCACCATTAGAAACACATATTTTTTTCTCAAATTCCGTTGTGAACACGTGGTTTCTTTTCAAACTTTTTTTAATAATTTTTATACCCTATCGCTGGACAAGCCATTGCGATTTCAAACATAGGCGTGCATTAGTCGCAACGCATTCACACTTGAGAACTACGGTATGCATTGTTGTCAAACCTCAATTTAGAGAAAAGATTATTAAAAAGAAAATTTTAATAAAAAACAAATTTCCACACCACCTGCGTGAAGTACTGTTCTTTGATGTGTTACTTTTACAATAATAATAATAATTTTATTTCATAAGATCATGTTTATACAAAGTATCAAAAAGTGTCAGTATAAGGAATTTCAAATACTTACATATTTAAATATGTAACATAGTTATTGTAAATAATCGAAAATATATCGTCAGTACAAATATAAGACAAATAATAATTATATAAGGACATAATTACAAAATATAGGACGCCTTAAAATAAAAAATTACAAACCAGTCTCATTAAAAGTGACAAATCATATATTCGTCAATACAATAGAAAGCATTCTGCAAGAAAATTAGTTTGACTTTATTACGAAAAAGAATATAACAATTTAGCTGTTTAATGTGCATTGGCAACTTATTATACAATTTTGTAGACATAAAAAAGGGCCATTAGCCTTTAACGTTAATCAATGCTGAGGTATATTTAAATTGTAAGATTCTCTTGAGATTATAACCAGAGCACCGACTTGTATCAGCACATCAAACGAACTTTGTTAAGTGGTTCTTTATATGTATACAGTGAGCGGCAAAAGTATGGAATATATTTATTTAAAAATCAGATGTTCGTTATCTGAAAAATCGCTCGTACCCTTCGAATTATGTTTTTAGTTGCGCATTTTCTGAAGCAATTTTCATTTATACAGGGTGGCCCAAAAAAAAGTTATGAAATCAAGCCCAACTTTTTTAAATGGAAACCCCACTTTTCTGTATTTTTATTCAATTTTCCATGGAATTCTGATCATTTTTTATGTAACATAACCTATACCTATCTTTAACCCCTTTCGAGATAATGGCGTCTGAATAATGAATATAGAAAATTTTCAAAAATTACCCTTAGATTTACCCTGCTGGTTTTAAAATAAAACCACGTTTACTTTTTCGTCTTAGATTTGTGTGATTCACAAAAAGTTGCTTCAAATCAGAAAAATCCATAAGAAATAAGTGGTTCGGTGATTTATTTTCATCATTAGGACGCAATGACTTGAATGTAAAAAATATAAGTGAGGTATTTAGGTATAACTTAATTAAAAATGCATAATTTTATTGTATAAAATATGATTCTGTTAAATGTCACTATTTAAATTACGCGCCAGGTTATTTTGCAAATTTTTAGCACCGTTTCATGTTTTTTTGTAAAGAACAAAAAACTTAAAAAACTCCAGAAAAACATGCATTGTAGCCGTCGTCAAGCAAGTAAATATTAAATAGGTAACGTCAAAGTCAGTTGAAACTGATGTACCCTGTTCACTACTACTATTTTTTATTATATAGGACAGTGCAATTACTTAACTAGATGGCGCATCTAACAGAAATGCAGCGGATAGAAATTCTAATCTATTTGGGGCACGGTGACAAAGCCAGAACACAACAAGTGTGTGATATATTCAGTAACAAGTATCCAAATCATCCAATCCATCAAGCTGTGCTTAAATATTTGAAAAACACAAAATGTATTTAGCTGAAAGTACACCAGTTCCCACTGACTTTGACGTTACAGTCCTTACGTATCGAGAGTAATTTTTGAAAATTTTCAATATTCTATATTCAGACGCCATTATCTCGAAAACGGTTAAAGATAGGTATAGGTTATGTTACATAGATTATGATCAGATCATGGAGAATTGAATAAAAACACAAATAAGTGGGGTTTCCATTTAAAAAAGTTGGCCTTGATTTCATAACTTTTTTTTAGGCCACCAAATTGTATACATGAAAATTGCTTCAGAAAATGCGCAACTAAAAATATAATTCAACGGGTCCCAGCGATTTTTCAAATAACGAACATCTGATTTTTAAATAAATATATTCCATACCTTTGCCGCTCACTGTACGTAGCACAGCTCAATGTACAGGATGTTTATTAAGTATTTGTACAAACTTTAAAAAAATTTGAATCTTTGACAAATTTTAAGATAAAAAGTTCATATGAACATGGGTCCGCAATGGCTTGGTTCTTGATACAGGGCGTCCAAAAAAATAAGAAATTTTTTGTTTGGTATTTTGATCATGTTTTTGTTCAATAACATGGCAACAGTTTTGATGTTTTGTGCTTCGTCCACCAGGCTAATTCCTGGTGACCCACTTTACGCCTTCCATTGGTGACATAAACAAGAATTAAAGTGTGGTTTAACAAACTAATTATAACTTGACTATTTATTTGATTAAAACAAAAGGATTTAAATTTCATGTTCAGAAGAGGAACACATACTATTACCCCTAAAAAATAACCCCCACTTAAAGTTACATGGTGTATAAGTCTTATGGAAATTTTTTGAAAAAGTAATCCAGTTGGTTTATTGCAATTATATCTCATTCCCAACACGTTTCTCCCTTTTATGTGTTCCAGCCTACCTGGATTTTCTGCTTTTATGTTTGGTTCACCTGACGGCAACTCTGGGTTGGAGCAGCAGCAAACTAAGTGCTAATCCAAAAGAAACCATGGATCGCTTAGTATCGAGTCTCTGCGAATTAATTGGCGCTTTCCATTGTGGTAAGGGATCCTCTGCTGCCGTATCCCTTATGGGATTAAGTATTACGCGGCATGTCCTCTTGATTCTTAACAACTTGGTAGCTGAATTGCAAAATTCGAAAACTAAGGTAATTGTAATTCTACAAGACAAATTTGCGTGATATTGAAAGTGAGTTGACAGCATAAGTTTCAGTAGAAACTTGAATTTTCAAATCATATTATGGGGAACAACTATTCTGCCAGCCACATGCTCCGTACAACATTGAATTACATTCCTAATATCTAGTAAACAGATATGATCATTCATTAGCAGCAGTATCAAACACATGCGGGTTTTTTAGTACTCATCAATATGTTATAGGAGACATATGACATGCTGATGATCGACAAACAATTTAACTACCTGTATATGGATGTTTATCCACTGACAGGTTTTGTGTGTGGGTGAGATATAGCCTATCAAGTATCTGTCATATCTTAAATGTCATTTTTACTCGAAGCATACTGGTACAAAGTATTACTTTGTACCTACTGGCATAGTAGTCCAACCAAATTACACTTGGAGAAAAAAAAAATGTTACCTACACTTTTATAAGTGGAAATGGTAAAAGGGCTTGATAAACGGAAAAAAAATAAATGCTTGAGCAAGGGCGGCGGAGGGTTGATTTGGGGGGTTGAAAAATTGTATTATTGGGATTTCTGGTGAATGTTGACGTCAAACAAAAAAATATCTAATACAAAAGTTGTAGATCATGCAAAAATCTACAACTTTTGTAGAGGTCACTTTTTAACATCGCCTCAAAATTTCCGAGAAAAATGCGAAAAACGTTTTTTTTTCTGATTTTCGGTTTTTTATTTCTCATTTCCGCAAAAATAATTTAATTTTGACAAAACTTGGTGAAAGTATACCTTTCTCAGTCATAAATAATCTCAAATTTTTTTAGATAAAAAAATCAAGAAGTTTCTGAGATATTCATTTTTTCGACTTGAAACACTTTTTTTTCAAAGAAAAATTCTACTTAAAAAAATCATCGTACAGAATTCCGCCGGTAATAATTTTTTTCGTTTTGACATATACCTTTTGGTAATATAAAAAAATCTGTAATAACATTTCAAAAACATGCTGAAAATGCAAAAAAAAATAAAAAATGACGCAACAATGAATTTTTCAGTTATTGTTGATAATTTATTTAAATTAAAAAACATTCAAAAACTGATTACACCATTCAATTATACGGAAAAAAATAAAAAAAAAAACTGCCTCATTGTTTGACCCAACACTTTATTTTTGTACAGTATTGCTATAAACATCTAAGTCGAATTACAAATGCTCAAATGATAAATTATCTCAGGATGATTTGAGATTTCAGCAATACAAAGTATTAACTGCAAAGTCTACTGTTGACGCAAAATCCCAAAACCCGAAATTTTGCAAAATGGTTTTTATTTTTTTTTCTGGCCTAATTTGGAAACTAATTTTAAATAAATTGCATATTTACATTGCCATTTTTTCGCTCTGGCGTCAACATTTTTGCAATCCGACGTTTCGTCTTCGACGGGTCATCATCAGATTAATTTTTTTAAATATATCGCTGCTATTTTTATGACAAAATCTAGTCATTTTAAATTCTGTATTAGATGATATTACTATTGTAATCGTAAAAGGTTTTAAAACTATCATTAAAAATTTTTCCTGAGTACGGCTCTGAGCGCTTTCAAAATACCTGTATCTATTGGAGGAGAGAGAGACAGAGAGAGAGAGGAGAGAATAAAAGTCAATACAGCACAAAATATCCAAGAATTTTTTTTAATCCATAATAACCTAATAAAGAAATAATATGAATTTATGAAATATTTTATTACATATTTCTAATTAGTATTGCTAACAATAGTAAAAAATTGCTAAAAACTTTTTAAGCGATTACAATAGACAATCCTCTACATTACAATCCTCTAATTCAGAATTAAAAATGACTAGATTTTGTCACAAAAATAGCAGCGACGTATTCGCTGTGAGCTTCGCTGGTATCACCACCTAGCGGTTTTATAGCTACAACTTCTGTCGGAAATTTAAAGTGACAGTACTGAAAGTGTATATGCCAAATACAAATGATAGTTAATACTTTTTATTTAATTAACGTAACAAAGAAGTTATTAGATCGTAATCTATGAATAATATCAGTAAGTAAACAATTTTATTCATTATAATTGTTATTTTTAAAATTTTGCACTTCATTTTGTGATTATGTTGACTGCGATTATTAGAATAGGAGAATTTTTCCTCCAAAATTTAATTATACTTGCAATAAATAAACAAATGATTAAAAATATGGTCTAAATAGCAATGTTTTTTATTTATTTATTTATTTTTCTAGTTTTGGAGTATTTCAATCAAACAGTGATCAAATGACTACTACAAATTACATGACTTTTTTTAGGTAACCATCCTGGCCCATGATTAAATGCTCTACCTACAACAACATAAAATTTTAATTATTATTTAGATAGATTTTAAACATTAATTTTGATTCACATGTCACAACTTACATTTTCAATCAATATCTATTTTAAAATTGAAGGTTATATTTACTTACTTTTTTCTAATTGCATCAATCCACTTTTGTCGTTGACCCAGTTTATGAGTAGCTTTAGGGCATTTGTAAAATAATAATCTTTGATACAACAACTTGTGTGTCCCATTTAAAAATATCCTTATGCAGAAGATTTTTAAATTTCCGACCTAAGTTCACTAAGTTGACGCTACTTGCGCTCGCAAATGTTTGATTATCCCCTCTGTCTATTTGCTCACAGCGAATATAAAAAAATTAATCCGATGATGGCCCCTCGAAGACGAAAAAAATGTTGACGCCATTGTATAGAGCGAAATAAGTGGCATTGTATATATGTAGTTTGTTTTAAAATTCGTTTTCAAATAAAACCAAAAAAAATTAAACAATTTTGCAAAATTTCGGGTTTTTCCGGAACTACCCGGAATTTTAAAACCTTCTAAACAGCATATTATTTTTTTTCTAATCTGAACCACCCCGTATCTCTTACCCTTTCCTAGATCCTAATGTTATCCCATCCCTTGTCTTGGACACACTGTATATCTATGAATTCATCAAACTTTAAAAAAAAATAAGTACACTAATCAATCCTATGGAAAAAAAAATATTATTTATTTTATTTGTTCACTATTCGATTTATGTTTGTAGCAATACTATATAAAAATAGTTTTGGGTCAAATGATGAGGTTTTTTTTGTATTTTTTCTGTACAATTGAATGGTGTAATCAGTTTTTGATTATTTTTAAATTTTAAACAAATTATCAACAATTACTGAAAAATTTATTGCTGCAAGTCATTTTTTACTTTTTTGCATTTTTGAGCATGTTTTTAAACTGTAATTACAGATATTTTTATTTTACCAAAAAGTATATGTCAAAACGAAAAAAATGATTACCGGCAGAACTCTGTAGGATGATTTCTTTAAGCAGAATTTTTCTTTGAAAAAAAAGTGTTTCAGACCGAAAAAAATGAATATCTCAGAAACTTCTTAATTTTTTTATCTAAAAAAAATTGAGGTTATTTAAAACAGAGAAAGGTATACTTTCACCAAGTTTCGTCAAAATAAAATTATTTTTTGCGGAAATGACAAATAAAAAACAAAAAAATCAGAAAAAAACCTGTTTTTCGCATTTTTCTCGGAAATTTTGAGGTTATCTTAAAAAGTGATCTCCACAAAAGTTGTAGAATTTTGCATGATCTACAACTTTTGTATTAGATACTTTTTTGTTTGACGTCAACTTTCGTCAGAAATCCCAATGATACAATTTTTCATAACTTTTCAATCCCCCAAATCAACCCTCCACCGCCCCTGCTCATGCATTTATTTTTTTTCGTTTATTATAAGCCCCTTTACCATTTCCACTTATAAATGTCCAGGTAACAATTTTCTTTTTTTTCCCTCTAAATGAGTTATTTTGATCGGTCTATAGGTCGCCTCGTCTATGACATACCGATGAGAACTAATAAGATCAAAACCGGTTTATGTCTGATGGTACTAGACAGAGTATTATGTAGCTCACAGTATAGTTGGTTCCCACAATATCAATATATGAAAAGTATATTTCTCTTAGCGCTAAACAAGTTATGCTTTCACAGCGCCCATACATAAGCAGGTCACACTTTACCATCGAATAGCAACAGAAATTAAAATATGACGTAAAGTTTTTAGGCGTTATCTCATCTACACTCAAAAGCCTGATGTAGCCAATAGTAATACAAGAATAAATGACTCATTAAATGGTTTTGTTCTCCAGTTTTTTTTTTGTACTTATTTCAGTTCTGGGAAAAATACTTTTTGGATGATGGGGGAGGAAATTTTTTAAACAATTTCCTAACGCTATGGACAAGTAGAGATGTTATAGTTAGAGCAGGTGCCTTGCAGCTGTTTAGCGGTTTAGCTACATCTCCTAGGGCAGCTGAGGAAATCGTCAGCGGTGGGTGGTGACTCGTATATTAACTTACAGAGAATTGTTCATTTTTGGGAAATATTTTAGACGTGAAACCGGACGGTGGCTCAATTCTGAATTCAGCTTTTTCTGTGTTGGTTGATACTAATGAGGCGAACATCGTGAGGGAATATGCCGCCCAGTTAATTGCAAACTTGGTAGCTCACATGGCGCCTGCATCTTCGAATAAAGTCTCTCAATCGAATGCTTTGTTCATTTTAAAGAAGGTAATTAATGTCAGATATGTACAGATATTTTGTATTTTTTCTATTTGTTTTTATTTTTTAGAATCACACGAACAAAGTTCTAAGTCTACTTGAGGAATTTGATATTTATAGTAATTTAGAGGTAACTTTGAACAATTTGTTTACGACAAATATTTCACAAAATGCCTGGGTTTGTCACAGCTCACAAGGTAATTAAAATTTGTTAAAACTAAAACTTATACTTTCATTTATTTCATTAAATTTGCTCAATTGTGTTAAATTTTTTCGAAAAAAATTGAAATTCACTTAAACTCATTTTCAAAATTAACCAAGCACACCTTGAAAACAAATGCTTTAGCATCCTTAGAAACAAGCTAACATGAAATTACTTTAGACAGATAATAAGTAATAGTCCAGACGGTATCTGTTTCAAAGAGTTCATATTTGGGTGAATCTTATATCCACGGAGATTTTTGCCTTTTTGGCTTTCAAATATCACTAGAAATAAAAAATTTTCTATGCGCATAAAAAAAAACGTGGGCTTAACTTTTGGCGGTACAATATGTTAAAAAAATTCGAATAATGTCATATTTTTCTTCCTATTTAAATTATGTATCTTTTCAAGAGTTGATTTTAGGCAAAAATGGAAGAGGAAAAAAACAAAGTTAGTTACAAATTGAATGAATCATGATTATTGTTGTAAAAATCAAGAAAATCGCCAAAATTGGGATTAAAAAACATTCCTAGGTATAGGACCTTCATATTTGGCTCAAGAAAAGTTCATGTTATGTAGAATCATCACACCAAATTTCATCAAAATCGGTTCGATAGATATTGCATAATAATTTTGCAATTCAGATTTTGAAAAAAAAATTTCAAATTTTCAAAATTTTGCACAGCAAAAACCAAGGCTCTTAGATACTTGAAAATTTAATTACACATAGAAGGGCTCTCAAGATTTCAAACACTTTTTGAAAAATTTGAATCGGTCAATTAGGAGAGCTCTGGCGCTTGTTTAAACATTGATCGAATTTTTGTACCTACCATAATTTTGTATTTTTGTAATATAATGAGTTAATTTTTCGTTTGCTTATATTTTAAACAGTAAATAATATTTGAATTATACTTTAATCACAAAAGAAATGATGATTAAATTAAATTAATTAATTAATTAATTAATTACTAATTTTCGACATATTTTGAAAATAATTATTGTTTAAACAATTTTAGAATATTTAAATAAATTTTGTTTTTGATCTTTGATAAACAGTGTATAAGTTTGTACACACCTTTGATACAATAAAAAAAATAAAGTTGATAATTAAAGGAAGTTTAAAGATAAATAATTATCGGACAGTTGAAAGACCAATAATTATTAACGATAGGCATTTGAAAATACGCTAATTGTTTTTTTTTAAATCGCGAGACATCGATTTAAAAAAAATCAAAAACGGACTGCTAGAAGCTGAGATATTAAAATTTTTTAAGCGCGTCGCGGTTTTGAACTCGCCGACTCAATTTCGAGTAGGCCGAAGCGGCCGCGCTCTCTGCTTCCCCCACCACCACCACCCTTACGATTTTCTTGAATTTCCCGCTTGAATAAACAACTTTAAAGCGTTTTAAAGTAGTTTGCCAATGAAGAAAAGTATTGCAAACTTAGACCTGGTAAGTACTCGGAATACCAAAGGTATTTTTCGAAAAATTAGCCCGGATGTCCCAGTATATTTAGTGTAAATGACGGTTAACTTTGATCGGCTATAACTACGTAACTAATTGACCAATCGATCTATTTTTTTTTAAAGAAGTGTCTTTCCAAGAACTTTTAAAACCTGCTGTAGAAAATTTGATTTGATTGAATATTCACAAAGTTCTAATTGTTTATAAGTACAAAAATTCGACCAGTGTTTAAACAAGCGCCAGAGCTCTCCTAATTGACGGATTTGAATTTTTCAAAAAGCGTTTGAAAGCATGAGAGCCCTTCTATATGTGATTAAATTTTCAAATATCTAAGGGCCTTGGTTTTTGCTGCGCAAAATTTTGAAAATTTGCTAAATATTTTTCAAAATCTGGATTGCAAAATTATTATGCAAAATCTATATAACCGATTTTGATGAAGTTTGGTGCGATGATTCTACATAACATGAACTTTTCTTGAGCCAAATATGAAGGTCCTATACCCAACTTAAAGACCCCAAAAAAAATTACCTAAAAAGTTATGTTTTTAACACCATTTTTGGCGATTTTTTCTATTTTTACAATAGTAATCATGATTCATTCGATTTGTAACTAGTCATATTTTGTAAAATTTTATTACAAACATTTTTTTCCTCTTCCATTTTCGCCTAAAATCAACTCTTGAAAATATACATAATTAGGAAGAAAAATATGACATTTTTCGTTTTTTTTTTTTAACATATTGTGCGCCAAAAGTTAAGGCGTTTTTTTTATGCTCATAGAAAAATTTTCATTTCTAGTGATATTTGAAAGCCAAAAAGCCAAAAATCTCCGTGGATATACGATTTACCTTAACCAAAACAGATACCGCCTAGTCTATAATTTTATGTAAGCTTTCTTGTTAAATAGTTAAAATTAAAAATAAGTTAGGATGAATATTAATTATTGTTCGAACACGGATTTATGTGACATGCATTATTGTTATGGTATAGCTGGGGAAAATTAATTTAACTAATTTCATGTCTACTTGTTTCTAAGGAAACTAAAGCGTTTGTTTTCAAAGCATGCTATGATAGTTTTGAAAATGAAAACACAAAAAAACACTATCATCTAAACGAAAGTAGATAATAAAATGCTTTTCTCTGATTTGAATTTATATTTAAATAACGTATGTAGTTATAATCAATACAATATTTGCAACAAAATATTTTTAGAAACTTGCAGCAACTCAATTAGCAGTACTTCGCAGAACTATTTTTTCGAAAACACGGAGTCTACCTGCTTAGCTGCCACTCCTGGATTTGTAAAATGTTTCGGACTTTTTCTTTATAATGTTTTAAACATAGCACCAGAAGATATTACTAATAAATTGCAAGAATGCGGTCTCGTAAAACTCTTATTCAGGTAAAACTTATTTATTAGAGTTACGTTACATAATTTATTAATTGACAATTTTAGATCACTGTGCAACCCATCCATGAGTATTTCGAATCCAAAGGAATTGTCCTTGTATTGCGATATATTAGAAATGAATACTGCGATTTGTTCCGTTTTGATTAAACTAACAACCATCAGTCCTTCCTGTTTAGGAACCATCCTACACACTTCTGACTGTTTTAGTGCGTTAATATCCTTATTGAATTATAAAAATTTTCGTAAGTAACTTTTGAATCTTTTGTTAATGTAAAATTACGAGGCTGCATTTATTTCCAGACACCAATAAGCCGCAATTAATGTACTTAAGAAATAGCCTGTGGGCAAAAATTTTCAAATTACTTACTACTTTAATAGAAAGCGCCAGTGCAAAGGACGGCGAACAGTGTGACAAATCCGTTGAAGTTCTGACTATATTTTATGAACTGATATTTGAATCAAAAAGTCAACTGTTCTTGGAAACTATTTGTGAATCCGTTAGTTGTCTTGGATCCAATGGTGAGTTTAAGAAATATTTTTTCTCAGCAAACTTACGATTTTTTTATTTTTAGAACTACAAAATTACGCTTTAACATTTCTAACTTCTCTTTTGAAAACGGACTTTTTGTATCATACGCCTCGGAAATCAAGTGTTGATTCCAACACTATAAAAACCGTGTCTCTACAGAATATTCTCGATTCTGTGAGAACGACTAGGTCTGTCGTCATATGTTCTACAATAGATCGAACTAAAAATGATGCACATTCGAAGAAACATGGAAAAACAAAAGATAAACAAATTATTAGAAATAAAAGCAGTCATAAAACAAACCTCTTAGAAGAGGCCTACTTTGGCCAAGTATTTCCAAAGTTGGAGCAGGAAGCATCGTACGATTCGGACAGTGAAATTAGTTTCGTAGAGAATAACGACAACAGTTTGTCAACGGGTGCTAAACTCTGTAAAATATTACTACATCTTTATGATATATCTAATTTAAGAAATAGAAGTGTTTTCGGCAAAATCAAAGAAAACGTCACAGCCGCTCTAGCTAGTCTCCTGTGTATATCCGTCGAGGCGAAGAAATATGCTTTGGAAAACCATTTACTAAATAAACTAATGAAGCAATTGAAAGAAAAATATATCCAACTCAGTTTGGAATCTGTCGATTGTCTCAGAAGGATAACGAATAAGAGAAACGTTTGTCCCCTATTAAACGATGTAAATAATCTAGTCAGGTTATTAACGAACTTCATGATTAATAATGGCGCTGCAAAAATTGAGGCCTCTGCATTAAATTTAGCAGACATTATCCACAAATTGTGGGTTTGGTTTTTGATGCAAAACAGTTTTCTTATTGACGTTCTTCGGTTGCTGAATGTTTATTCTACCGAATGCAGTTTAGGTAAGTCGTAAGTAAGCATAGGATTGTTAGACGGGCAAACAACAAAAAAAAAATGGCAATTTTTAAGCATAAATTTGGTGTGTGATAATTGGAACACTGCTAATGACTGACTAACCTATTACTATTTTAAGGTCTTGCCCTAAAATATGGTTTTTGTTTTCGAATGTACATTTTCTATTGCGTGAATATGTCGATGTCGTGTAATATATGATTGCCCTTTCATAACTAAAAAAAGGTATTTGGTGCAAAATTTCTCACACATATTTTATTTGTTTATAATTGTATAAGAATATTGTATGGGACATGTGGATACTAAATATAAAAAAAATATTCGTAATTGTGTAAATTATTTATCGTAATACACTTCATTCTACGACCATTAAGAATAAATGTAAACGTTTCTAGTTAACATATTTGTAAAAATAGACCACAATGTTACATGTACGGCTCTTAATACTGTCGCGTAGAAAAGTTGACCAGTTGTGTGGGTGTTACTGGATGCAATAATAAATACAACCATTGGTACATCGGAAGCAGTGGCGGTTTTACCATAAGAGCTGCAGAACACGTAAAATTTTATGTATTTAATAATATTAAATATCAACAAAATATTTAAAGAATTGAAATGTACTCGCGCTAAAATAAATCTAGGAGCTTATATTATTATTTATTACGTTACGACGCGAGCTACGCTCCTTACTATATGCAACCTCATATACAAAATTAGGCATCTACAGATATTATAGTTATTAAAATGAATAGCGTTTCGTTAAAAAAAAAGCTTTATTTGTTTCTCTGCCTTATGAGGATAAATTAAAAATAAAAGAATTAGGTGGGCCAACACCACAATTAAATATTGAAGTTAGTGGAACAAGCCGAAGTAAAAGTTATAAAAGATAATTTAACAGTAATGTATACACAAAAGCAGAGTGGGTGTGATATAAAAAATACACTGTTTTGTTTTCGGTGGGGATAAAGCATGAGCAATATACAATGTGAAAGATTTAAGTCATTTAAGTCATTAGGTAAAATAAACATAAGAAGTCAGGATTCTGCATATTGGGATAATATACGGAAACACAATGAACAGGTAACGAAAAATCGTCATGTATTACCTAAAATCATAGATTGCATAAAATTTTGCGGAGCTTTCGAATTAGCACTTCGCGGACACGACGAGACAGAAAATTCGGACAACCCTGACATAAATTTTAGTGCAGATCTTGACGACATATTAAAAGAACATCTAGCCACATGGGTATGACCAGGATTTTCTGTGATTGTACCGGGAATTAGCTGTATGGTCCCGAATTTCGGATTTGCGCGTATAACTCTCGGAATATAATATATGTACATATATATAAAAAAATAAAGAAAAAATCATAACACGGCGAGGAAAATTAAAATTCGTGGAATCGTTGGTAAACTTCACACACAATTTTTTTGTTTATAAACAATATTCAATAATTTAATAAAATATATTTAGTTTATTCCAATTTATTTATACTGTCAGTAGGTAATTCGTGAATAGATGTTTCAAAAACGTATCAATTTCAAAAATTGTTCTTGTGAAAATCTGTATTTTTGTATAAATGGATTGTTCCTTGAAATTCAGAAGTGCCAGGAAAACGCATGACCTTGAAAATTTAAAAATTTTTCGCCTGTGGTGCCATTTACAAACTCCGGGCACTTAATATCACGAAATTCAATTCAACAAATGTAACAACCCTAAGCAGAACACATTCAATCAATGTTCACACGCCGCCACTGATCGGAAGCCCTTCCATCATTTTTGTGTGTTTACACAGTTCTATGTATGCTTTAACTATGTTTTCTGTTGAGGGAAGCCAATATATTATTATGTATGGTTTATTTGTTCCACAGTGTACACACAAAATGCTGTTTGCCCGCCTAAATATCCGATGTCCTTTGTTATAATTGTTTTATTTTGTGACTAAAAATATTAATAGTGGGGTGTAATTAAAGTGGCCAATAGAAACCCACTTTCTCTCAGGAGCTGCACAAAGTGTGATGATTCGATTTATGCTTGAATTTTAAGGTTGCCAATCTATGACCTTAACTAGTTCCGTTGCTGGTTCTGGACCAGGAAAAGTGCCAACTAACGATTCCCTTCTACATGCCCTGATCACATTAATAATTAAAGAAATGGAACAGTTCAGTAAAATGCACGATTTGAGTATTTTGAACACGTCCTTTAATATCCTATGCAACTGTTGCGAATCATTGGAATGTCGAATTTTAATAGCCAAGGTGAACATTTAATACTATCTATGAAGTAATAAAGTATTAACCAGTTTATGTGCATTTTTAGAGTTCCCTGTTTAATGGTATGTTACATTTGCATCCTGCGAAGACGAAAAAACAGAAACCGTGGGATAGCCTAGAATTAGTATGGTTGGGCTTCTTAGAAAACTACACTATATATCCAGAGGGCCAGACGTCAGTAGCAAAAGCTTCCGACGTTTTGGAACTCGTAATGTCTTTGGCCTTTTGTTCCAGACCACAAAATAAATTAATGGCTGTGTTGGTGTTGAGAAATATTGCATTTTATCAACCTAATAAATCAAGACTATTAAGTTCAGGTAATATACAGGGTAATTCACAACTTATCCAAAAAAAATTTGGGAATAGATGCGGCATGAGAAATGGAGTCAATATTGTAAAAAAAGTTTTTTGTAAAATCTTATAGTTTCCGAGAAAAAAATTATTGAAGTTATAGTACATTCAACCAGTACATAGCTGGACAACTGTAGTCTCTAGCGTCATTCGCAATATGCGTGGAGAGCCACGTGGCTTCAGCAACTCCGAATACTGAAATCCTATTTTGCAATCATCGTTGCGATAGTGTTACCTGTTATCTGTGGTGTTTGCAATAGTTTTTTAGTAGTTAGTGTCAAAAATGGTTTGCGTGTATAGCAATTCGGAGTTGATGGATATCGTTTTAATTTATGGTGAAGCATTTCTGTTATGGTGAAGCAAGACAACATTTGTGTTAGTTTGTAGAAACTGAGTAAGACGAACCCAAATGTGTTTACACGTTGGCGGATAAAATTTTGAACAATTGTTGTTGTAACATCGGGAATGTCAAATGATTTTATTATTTAAAAACACAAATTAATTTTATTAATTAAGAGAGCAGATGAATTTGCCGATATAAAATAGGTGCGATAAAATTCTATTTACATATTTCTTTCTTTGCGAAAGTTTTTGTCCATTTTTATCACACCGTCATGCCAGTCGCATTGTGCTAGGTCAGGCTTTACAGTGGACCAGTTTCCAATGCCGTGCAGAAGTGTATTTTTAAATCATTTTCGAACTGCCCTTTTTGATTTTTTCTTTACAAAACTGTATTTATAAGGGTCCCCTGTACATCCAGAATTTTTTTTTTGATAAGTTCTGAAATACCCTGTATACACATACAGCGCTATCTAAAAAATTTGCACCATATGGGAAAAAACTTTATGTATAAATTGAATAGATTCCTTCGATTGTCAGTTGTCTCTGCATGTCGTCAAATCAATATAGTGCCCATCGAACTTTATAAAACGTTTATTATGTACCAGGGGCAGACAAAAACTGCAAATCGGCCCAAGAGTAAAGTACCCTTATTTTCAACCCTAAGGGAAAATGTTTTAAAGAAAAGTTATTTCTCTTTAAAAGATTAGCCCGAATATAAAATTTCAGTTCATTGTGTTGAAAAAGCGATTCCTTACATTTTTGCAACTTTCCGTCATACCATAATTCAAGCGAAAACATCCATTACTAATGTCACTTTTTTTAGTACGTTTCTACAAGACAAACATAATACTGAACACAAGTTGAATTAGGAGCTAATAAGGCCGTTATAAAAAATGGTGTGATGCTTTACGTCAGTCATTACATCCATTTTAATTCTTTATTCACTTATTAATATTTTTTACAGAGTAATTTTGTTTTTAGGTGAATTTCTAAATATACTCCAAGCAAAATTAATGAATGGAACCTTTGAGGAAAAAAATGCCGTGGTAACCATTATTTGGGCGATGGCTGCGAATAATCAAAAAGCAAAGAAAATTTTTAAATCAGCCCACCTTGATGTTGCCTTAGATGATGTCGTAAAACACTATCGATTATTAAAACACGAGACGTCGTCTTCAAACGGGCTTGATTTGAATAGAATAAACGTCGTTTTAAGTCTCTTACGAAGTAACAAATGAATACTGATATATTTTTATATTTTTAATTTTAAACTGTTCTTAATAGTTTATGTTAAAAAGTAGTTGATAATTAATTTTATACATACGTATCTAATATATATTTATTTTTTCTAAGCCAGTTTATATTTTAAATTATTTCTTTACTTTTAAAAAATATATATTCAACTTGAAAATTCTACCTTTATATAATACTTATTTTATAATTATTGTTTTGAGAAACTCGAGAATATTACGCCTATACAAAGGTCGCATTCAATTTCGGTTGAATAGAGAAGAATAGATGTGCACTCAACGCAAGATAAAGGTTTCTAATCTGAATCGTATTTTGTTTGAAATATGACGGCGTAACCGCTTGTCTATATGGGGCGTTCCCATTAAACTCGTATGGCAATATTTTACCGTCACATCTGACATTTTACGAGTTTTATACAAAAATGCTTTCCTGGTAGATTGGCATTTTTAAAATGGGACTAATCCGCAAACTCTTATAGCAGACCTTGTATGCATTTTTTATTATCTTGTTTCTATTAAAAGAGTTGCATATACATTACAATAGAAAAATCGATTCATCCTAGTTAATAAATCTTGCGAAAAGTCTACTACCTATTTATGAATAGTTAGATTGAATGGATTTAAGAAAATTAAAAATTAAAATTTTTTTTTTAATTTTGAAAATCCTGCGGCTCGGAAACGGCGGCCTTAAGAGCCTACGTGTGTGTAACAAAATTTACTTAATTTTAGCCATAGAATGGGCTTCTAGTTTTTCTGTACGCCATTAATGAACACTAGGTGTCCGCAATGAAATAAGTTTCTTATAAAAGTTGTAAAGCATACAATTCTACATAAAAATGGCATCTTCACTTTTTCTCGTACTATTAAAATTAACAGAGTTAGGGAGGCTGGAAGTTAGGGGAATATTTCAGAAATTTAAAAAAATCGTAAGCAGAAAAACGAATTAATTTTGTATTTTTTTTTCAATATACTCTAAAAAAATTTAACTTTTCTTTTTAGAGAAATAGATATAATTTTTAATAAGAAAGTTATAATAATTTCAAATTTTCAATAGTTAATGTAACAAAACCAAAACAATTTTTTTCTATACTATTCGATAGATTATTTAAAATAATAAAAAGTTGCCTTGGAATTTTTATTTACATTTGTTAGACAGATACAAATTTATTTACCTTTTTATATTTTGAATTTTATTTAGCTCCTACGACACTGCCAGGACAAAGATAAAAAATCACGTTCGCTTTGTCGCACTCATGGTACCGAAGTTGTGGATAACATTAGGGGCCCGGAAATGCTTCCTTTCTGATAGATGTAAAATTTAAAAAAAATCCAGTTTTTCTAAATATTTCGAAAACGATTTAAGATATTACACTGAGCTTTGGTGTATAGTACAGTGGCAGTGTAATATCTTAAACCGTTTTCAAGATATTTAGAAAAAAAAACAGATTTTAAATTTCTTTTGACATCTATCTCAGAAAGGAAACATTTCCGGACCCATAATGTCATGAACTTATTTACTTATTTTCACTTCCAGAACACGTCCTTAAAATATTTCCCTTTCCTCCCGAAACTGTATAAGCCTACACAAAAAAAAATAAGACACGCCCCTAATTATCGATGTCTCCCAAAATTCCTATTAATAGTCCACCGGCTCGCCCCTGTAAAAATAGTATGCCTTTTAGGTTGGAAACCTTTATCGTGCGTCGAGTGTACCTCAACTCACAGTAATTCATTTTTAATTTGGGAGATTCTACATTATATTTAAATTATTTTAATTATTCATCTACTTGTCATCAATTATCGCATTTGAGGAAAGTAGCGTGAAATACAGGGTGTTTCGCATGAGAATATGGTGATTTACGCAACTTACCTACTATCATATTTTTATTTTTACTATGACCCAAGTCTGCGTTTTCATCGTAACCTTGTTTTTAAACAAAGTCTTTTTAATAGTACCTACACATGTACTTATTTTGCATAAGACGCATTGATAGCGCTTTGTTGCACCAAAATTTCACTCAACTGTCAGCTGACTGCTACCATTTTTTTCTCAATTTCATCAAAAAAGTCTACATATATCTTTATTTTATTCTTTATTTTTATTTTCAGCTATAAAAAATGTATTTTTTATTTATTATGACAAACAAAAAAAATGTTTTAAATTATTACAATAAAAGAAGAATTAAGCTGACATTTCATTTCCCCAAGGATCTTTTTTTGCATTCAAGAGTGCAATGGAACTCTCACAGAATTTTATCAATATTTCTCCAAGCTTCTCTTTTGAATACACCTAAAAATAATATATTTGAGGCCTGGGTAAACACTGTTTAAGTAATAAGGCCTTGATTAAAATCTCTTATTAAATAAAACATTAAAAAACATATATTAATTGAAAAATGTTTATAGTTTAAATATTCAGGGTATTTATTAAGGAGGTATATCGGGGTCCGAGGGAAATGAGGAGCACAGGGGGGTCCCATGCTCTTCTTATGGGACTAAAGCCCACTGCCAATTTGAAAAAATTATATTCTATTGAAATCATTTGCGATAAACATTATCTATATAGCAAAAAAATCTACTCATACGCACATAGCCTACATACTGACTGACTAATTAACAACATAAAAATATCATATTTAAGTAGTTTTAAATTATATTTAATGAACGCATAAAGACTATGTAGATGTGGTAACAGCGCTAATAATTGACTAGCAGTTGTACACACTGCGAACCTACAGACCTCGGACATCGGAGATATTGCGCGTCAAATTCGG